TGTCCTATTTAATCATCAATCGGTTTGCACTTGCTGACGTGACAATCTCCCTATAAGTAATCCAATTTTTCTTAATTGTGATTAGGATTTCTTGTCTTTTATAGCACAGATGATTATAAATTGTAAAATATAAATAATATGATGAAAAAGGATTTTAATATCCAAAGCCCTAACCATAAGATAGTGAGTATTTTATAATTTTATTTTATAATTTAAAGTAATTAAAATTATAAAACACTTTTTAATTATGAATATTAGGTGGAAATATAATTAGTGATGTCTTGATATCTTTATTTTTTAATTACGAAAAGTAATGTTATTTTATGTGAATCACAACTTACCAATGGTCGGAAGCCTTTGAGCTTCCGACGTTTTGATGCTTGAGCCGTTGGGGGATCCCCGACAGCTCAAGCATGCTGGAGCCGGCCTGTGCTCCATCCTCCGATGACCCTTCGGGATCTGTCGGTTTATGGGTCCCTTTCCGGTGACCCCTTTTGCTCTTTTGTTTTCTGGTTGTTTTGTATAGTTTTAGTTTCTTGTACAGTTTGTTTTTAAGATCCGGCGACCCTCGGCTCTTTCCTGTCTGATCTTGGTAGGGGTTCGTTGGGTTTTTCTTTTTGTCCTGTTTGGTGCAGATCCGGCGGTTTTCTGTCTTCTCCGGCGGATCTGAGGCGGCGCGCACGAGGGCTTTCAGATCTACGCCCACTGCGGCTCTCTGCTGGTTCCGAGGGTCTTCCGCCGCCTGATCGGGTGACCGCACGGCATCCTGGAGCCTGATGCTATTTCTTCAAGGGTAGATTGAAGGGTGTCTCATATGGATCGGTCGACCGAAGGCCGTGGTATTTCCGGGGCGTTCGTGGTTGTTCGAGTGCTCAGTGCACCCCCTTCAGGCCTCTGGATATGGATCTACTCTGTTCTTTTGTTCCAGTTGTTTTTACTATTTGTTATCTTTGTAAATGCCGTATGGCGGTCTTTGTAATGAATCCATTCCATTATCCTCAAAAAAAACTTACCAAGGTGGGACCCTTAGTTCATAATGAATTATACACTTTTTTTCAATATAAAAATGCAATATTAGCGCATATCAATCTTAACGGTAAAAAATAGTTAAAATTTTAATTTCAAATTATTTTATTTTATTTAATAAAAATTCAATTCAAAATTTTAAAAAATTATCTTATTAAATATTGATGTAATAGAATATATAATAAGTTTTTAAATTTAAATATTAATATTTAATAAAATAAAATTTTAATTCTCACATATAGGTTTTGGATTCTAATTGTTTTAAGAAGTTAGTACTAATATGCAGTAATATCTAATTTTTACTCATAAAAAAAAAATTAGAGT